TTCATTCCTAGGTTTCTGCTTTGAGCAATTAACTGGTACTGGTCATTGAGACAGGTAACACAGTGGGTTAGAGGAGAGAGGAGTGGAGAGAGTGACGATTTTATTTGGGGAACCTGTTGATGTCCCGTAGGTCACTGAGTATACAGATCTTGAGCTCAGGACAGTGATCTAAACCGAAGTTACAGATCTGGGACTCACCAGCATGTACATGATTGAAGCAGAATTGTGGATGGAATTTCCCAGGTATAATCCGTAGAGCAAGAATAGAAGGTGACTAAGTTTAGGAGATCCTTGAGGAACACTATTATTTAAGGGGAAGACTGAGGCAGAGGACTCTGACAGAGACTAAAAAGCTGCTGACAGAGGAGTAGGCAGAGAGTCAAGAGAACGTGACATAACGGAAGCCAAGTGCCTCCGCCACGCCAAAAGCTGGAGAGAGATCAAGTTAAATAAGGAGTAACAACATCAATTAGATATTTGAAGCAGATAATCGATAACCTAAGTACAAGTCCTTACAGTGGAGTTTTATGAGCTCAAACTAGAAATGTGGAATGTGAAAAAGTAGAGGCAGACATATAGTGACAGCCAATTCCTTTTTTTTATCATTTCAACATGATTTCTATGAATTTCTCTACTATTAATAATGAGAACTGAATATATACTTTAAATATACCTTTTTATATTAAATTCTGGAAATTTTTTGCAGTCCTGTTGTATACATTACTGCTTTCCTTTAGAATAGTGAAACCTTCTGAACAGATGGTAGCTTAAAATTTTATCTGTGAAAAAAGTAGTAGGAAAAGTAATCGATATAAGATTGCATTTTTTCTACAGCTGTATTTCATATAAAAGCATGTCTAAGGATTTCATTTTTAGAACTTGGTTTCTAGGCAGTGAACCCTAGACTAACAAGAGCTCATTTTTTAAAGATATAGCAGAATTTTCTCATTTTATTTTAAGGCAATCCTAGAAAAATGCATCTTATTCCATTTTACAAAAACCAATATCCTGAAATGCTTAGATTGCCGCGCAGAGTTGTGTTATTGTATTTTCTAGTGTTTGAAAGCCAGTAAAAGCAGTAACAGGAGACTCATGAGGGCTCTGCTTTGGCTTTTCCTCTCTGGAAATGAGATTTGGGGATCTGTGACAATCTTGAGTTCTCAGATTTTACAATAAATACCCATGGGGTCATCTGGAAAGCATGAAAATTTCTGATAATTTAGAAGTTGGATTTCTTGATTAAAGGACTACCATACTGGGATCATATAGATTTCCTCTGCAAATGACAAACTCATCTGGTTAAGAAGTATTTTAAAGATAGTTATTTTAAAAATTCAATATTTCCTCTCATTGAGGTTTAGAGTTTCTATGTGAAAATCTTCAAGTATCAGAAAAATAAATGATTTCCCACATATTGGCCATGGAAAGAAAATATAAATCATAACTATTTTTCTCTGAAGCAATGGTTCTCAACCCAGTGAAACCCTTCGCAGTAACTTGAAAAATCCCTAGGAGTCCCTGTGGGTTGAAAAAAAACTTCCCTTCTTGCCAAACGTTTCCACCCACTGTCCCTCAAAGACAACGTACATTTCCCTGCTTTGTACTTTGTTATGTGATTCCCTTCAGCTAGAATGTCTCCTTATATCTTCTCCACTTGCCTCCATTTCTACCTACTGATATCCATCAAGACCCAGACCAAATAGCACCTATTCTATTAGGTTCCTGGACTTACTAACTACACACAACAACATATAATATATGCTGTTTTATATGGTAGCTATTTACATAGCTTACATTGTAAGCTTACATTGTAAGCTTCTGGAAGACAGGAATCATATATTATGCCTTCCATGTTGCCTAGTATGATACCTCGCATATGGTTGTCACTACATAAACCTTTGTTCATTATAATTACATTTCAGATATTCAAATATAGTCAAGGTAGAATTTGGAACAATTCTCTCTTTTTCTTTTGGCCCTAGCCAAAATATAGAAGACCAGAAAAATGGTTCAGATTCCCTCTTTCGAGATCCTAATCATTCAAAATGTAGAATTCATCCAGGTACAACCAGAAACAATTACGTGCACATAGTGGCTACAGGTTTCTCCTACAAAAAATAAGATTGGCACTGGCAAAAATATTAGTTTTCCAAGAAATTTCTCTCATTCCTAGGATAGAGTTTTTGAATCTTGATCTGCTGATTTTAGTAGAAGCCTTCTTAATGGATTAGTGATTGGTCAATTAATGAATAAAGTTTTTTAAAGTAGAAAGGGGTTAAAGAAGTGTATAGATACTGTAATTTAAGATACAAATAATCACTCACCAATATTTTTGAAGTAAGTCCTCTTCTTTGACTGTGGATCTAATCGTTCTCTTTGTAGCATAAATCACTGCAATGTATTATCTATTGTTCATAGTTTTGGTTCTTTAAGTAGGAGTGAGAATCTAAAGAGTTTTGGGTTGTTATTTTGAGGTAATCTGAGCGTAGACTCCTTCTGGATTTTGGTTTGTTGACCACCGCAATATATTAAAATTTTCCTTACTTTCCCCTAAGTTAACAGTTCTTTTAGTGACTCACCTTTATGGAGTCCTTCCAAAGCATTCAAAATAGAATTTTGTACAAATGTCTCCTTTGCTTACACAGTCAATTTAGTTAACTTATATAAAATGATAACAAATACTCTTTTATCACTTATATGTGGAATCTAAAAAATAAAACAAATGAATGTATATAACAAAAGAGAAACAGACTCACAGATACAGAGAACAAACCAGTGGTTACCAGTGGGGAACAGGAAGGGGGGAGGGGTAAGTTAGGGGCATGGGATAAGTGATACAGACTACTATGTATAAAATAGAAAGCAACAAGGATATATTGTGCAGCACAGGGAAATATAACCATTATTTTATAATAACTTTAAATGGAGTATGATCTATAAAATATTGAATCACTATGTTGTATGCCTGAAACTAATATAATATTACAAATCAACTATCAAGAAAAAAAGATGATAACAGTGGGCATAATCTGGGGACAAGTACAACTGATTCTTAACAAGTAGCAATTCAACTAGTTGGAGCAAAAGTGAGGCATACTGGAGAGAGGCATTGTGTTCGCTGCCAGTACTAGCATTCAGCATGACACGGGCCATACTCAGTATGTTTCACCCAGGGAATGGAAAGTAACTGCTAATCTGGTGAACTACAGATCTTCCTTGACTTTCAGTGGAGTTATGTCCAGGTAAACCCATTGTAGATTGAGAATATCTTGAAGTCGAGGATGCATTCAGTACATCTAACATCATAGCTTAGGCCAGCCTACCTTATCCGTGCTCAGAACACTTACATTGGCCTCCACTTGGGCAAAATCATCTAACACAAAGTCTATTTTATAATAAAGTGTTGAATATCTCATGTAATTTATTGAATCCTGTACTGAAAGTGAAAAACAGAATGGTCGAATGAGTACAGCATGGTCGTAAGTGGGTCAGTTGTTTACCCTTGTGACCGTGTGGCTGCCTGGGAGCTGCAGCATCAGGAGAGAACATCGTACCACATATCACTAGCCCCGTAAAAGATCAAAATTCAAACTCGAAGTACAGTTTCTACTGAATGCTTATCACTTTATGCCATCATAAAATCGTAAGTCGAACCATCTTAAGTTGGGGACTACCTGTAGTTAAATGGTGAGTAAGGTGATCTTCTTTTGTACTCTTATTTTATACTAATACCTTTCTGACATTGTTCCACATAAAAATTGAGGGTAAGTATCTTATTCAGAATTAAATAACTACATGCTGTGTGTTAGGTGAAGGACAGTGGGGTTAAAGATATGCAGGGGGGAAGGATAAATAAGAATCTGCTAGAAAATAACTTTCTTTACTGGATGTGTTATGTTAATTTGAAAGAGCTATCAAAGCCCAGCATTGAGAGAAAAAATAGTAAAATACGTCTAGGTTATTTCAGGTATGTATGTTTCATTTCCATATTTATAATGACTTTTATGAAGAGTGCATATGAATATTTCATTTAAAATGTTGAAAGAATCAGAGCAGGAAATAGAAAACTTGGGAAGATGAATTCATTTTTGCCTTTGGGGAATTGATTATGGATACCCTTATAGTATCATAAACCACTCATGGTAGTTTATGTCAAGCCACAATATTGTGACCTAAAATATCAGAATGAGAATGCGGAGTTAAAATCAGCTAAGAATATTTTGGAGATGAAATTAAAGAAAGGATGGCTGGAAAGATCCCTATAGTAAGGTTGGATTTTGTCTTCATACCATTTTTAGAGATGGAGCAGTTCTTAGATATCATGTAATCCAGTAGGTCTCAACTCTGGCTGTGCATTTGAGTCATATATACAGGAAAAAAAAAGCCCAAATTTTAAAAATTGCTGTATTTCGTATAGGTCATATCCTCTTCCTTAATACAATAATCTTATTCAGGGGTATTTAAATACCCTTCTTATTGTTTTCGTACTTATTTTTGGTAATGTGACAAAATGACTATAAAGGGAGGTTATATAAAATGATTTTCAGAAAATACCTTTTATAACATTCTACTGTAAAAAAAAAAAAAACTGGTTTAAGGAAGTCTTTGACTTAGTATAATATTGTAAAACCCAACTACTCACTTTTAGGACTATTTTTTGATCCCTCAGAAACCCTGTTTGAGCAATGTTTGCCTGTGGATCTTTCTAAGGTCCTGAGAATTTTCCTTGAAATATTAAAACATGCTCAAAAGAATTCCATCCTACACAAATCTGTTGACTCACTGACCCCTAATGCAGGGTATTTGTTCTGCTATTGGAAGGTAAACTAGAATGAAATTCAGTCAAAGTATAGGCAACACTGTTGTTTGTTTTTTATGTTAAAACTCTGCCCAAGTAGGTTTGGGTGGGTTTAAATTTCACCTAGAAAAATGAGATATTTTAGAATTTTACTTTCTGGTTGTTAGGTTTGCCTTCAAATTTTGATGTCTTGCTTTTCCAGGGTTTTGAAGGTGTTTCTTTCACGAACAGCCCAGCGGATTCCATACATGACCGGTGGACGGGTCATGAGGATGCTGGCAGTAATACTCCTGGTAGTGTTTTGGTTTCTCATTGGCTGGACTTCATCTGTTTGCCAGAATTTGGAAAGGCAGATTTCACTCATTGGCCAAGGGCAAACATCAGATCACCTCATCTTCAATATGTGCCTCGTTGAGCGCTGGGATTACATGACAGCAGTTGGTATGTGATCACTTGCTTTGTGCAATTTTATCCTTTGCCCACTAGCATTAAAGTGGACTTCGTTAGAAGCCTTGCCAAGCCCTTTCACAGACCCTAAAGGAATTTCACCTAATACGGTTTTGGTGAAACAATATTATGAAAAGATAATAATGACATGCGGAGTGCAAACTTTTTCTGAGAGTTTCCATCTTTTTCAAAGGTGTGTAGCTTTGTTCAGAAAATGTAATCAAGAAGGAGAAATACAGTCAGTAAAGGCAACTTCTTTGTACAGAGAGACTTTCTGCTTTCCGTCCTATCAGTGTGTCCCTATTTGGCTAACAGAAGCTGTTCTCTTGACTTATTTCTTTAGCTGGGAGGAAAAAGGAAACATACTGGTATTTTTTTATATAGTTTTGGTCCTATGATATATCAGACTTGGTATCTAGAGCACTCTGGGCAAAATTTCTAATTTATCTTTCCTCTAAAGATAATTTATTGGGAATTCTCTGGAGGTCCAGTATTATACAAACACAAAGCCATGCTCCTTGGAGATAGTAAATTATGTGACCGAGAAGCTGGAGAACTTGGAAGAATCCCATGATGAGTTGGGCCAAAAACAGATTATTTTTCTGGTAGCTCAGTTTTTTGAAAAATGAGGAAGAGAAAAATCCATAGGAATTTTTCTGTTGTTAATATTGGGCTATTTTAAACTAAGCCTCCCAAAATACAAAAACCCTTTATTATTTTGTTGTCATTCCCCTCAGTCAACCAGGGACAAATCTTAATTTTATTTGGCAAAAATAAACCCATGAATTTAATTCCCATTTTCTGTCTCCCCCATATTTGGCAATTGTTCATTGAATGTTCACATTTACTATTTTGCTAGAAGCTAATGTGTATTTAGTTTACAATTTAAATGGAATAATATTTTTCTGGACAAGATATTTTAGGAATCTTATAGGCCTGATATCTGTAATAATAAAGCAATGTGGGTACATAAAGGGAATTGTTACAATGATAATATATAAAGTCAATCATCATTATTTTGATCAATATCAAAGAAGATATCAGTAGTTTCATATCAGGAGATATCAGTATCAGAAGATAAAGCATAGAACTAAGGTAAGAAGCAATTCCAATTCCAATTCTGACTTTAGTCTGGATATGAAAATTAAACAAATTGTACAGATATAAAATTTCTACTTAATAGAAACCTATAACATTATTTTACGTTCTTCAATCCAAACTAGGGAAAATCATTTCCCAATATTACTATGAAGAAAAGCCCATTATATTTCTCTTATGTTTTACAAAGACTATAATACTCAAATTCATAATGAGGCATCATTGGGTAGGCAATGAGCAAGCGGAAATGAGCCCAAGAATTTGCACTTGTAACAGGTTCCAAGGCAACGCTTTTGCTCCCGGTCCTGAAACCGCACTTTGAGAAGCACTGCTCTAAGTCTTTCTCCATTCTCATGATTCCAACTCCACAATCCCTGAATTGCAGGGGAGGTGGGGGGGGCGCGGGGGCGGGGTGTGGGTATGTGTGTGTGTGTGTATCTCCTAAAAGTAATCTATTAATAGATTGAATTTATTGATTTATCACATCACTTTCTGGTTCTCCAGATTCCTTTAACAGGTTTTTAAGACTCCCATCTCCCCCAAAATGCCCTAACTTTAAAAAAAAGCAAAGACTCACAATAAATGTAACCATCCAGCATTATTTACAATGTATTTCAGCATTACCCTCTTTTCCAGTTCGGCATTTCCTTCATGCTTCACACAATTCCCATCCACCTCCACCACTGTTCCTATCAAAGGAAGTGTTCTCTATACCTCTTTACAATATTCTAAACTTTACCATGCCTCAAAGAACTTCTCTTTTATAAAGATTCCTGGGTTCAGGTCCGAGTCGTTGTCTTCCTTTATTGAACTACCATTGTACCAAGGGTCTTTATCACCTAATTTTGCTTTTCAATAATTTTTAACAATTCTCACTTATCTGTGTAAACCAATAGTAAACTACCTAATGAGAGGAATAAGGCCTTTATATATTTTATATCTCCCGTAAAGTGTTCAACACCTTACTAGAGACATTATAGGTATTCATTGGATCTTGTTTATCATATAAAATTCTTACTTATATATAAAGAAAGTTTATGTAAAATAAATTGCAGGTTACTGTCAGTTATGTGTTGCTACTTATTTCTATATAGAAATCACAGATGTGACCTTCTTTAGAGTGTAAAATACTGGAAAATAAAAGACTAATGATAGGGTACAGAGATCAAGAGGTAAGAAGTTAAATGTTTGGTGGTGGTGTTTTTGCTATCTTCCAGTCATTGTTTTTGTCCTATAAACTACAGCAACACCTTAGTTTCAAAAATTACACTTTTCTTGCAGTAACACAATTCTGTAAAGAAAAGTCAAGACACGTGATTTAACAACAGGAACAAATATTTGAAATTAGGACCATCTTGAAAACTCAGAGACATGTGGTTGCTATAAACTTTTTTTCACACTGCCCTACAGCGATTTCATTTATTTCCCTTTCTGCATGTGGTATTAGATATTCCATATTTAACCTCTCTTAATTTAATGTTTGCTAATGTGTAACATATGCCTCTTTTCAGTCCTCTTTATATATTTCTATAAGTACCATGTTTACCATTAGATATTTTTATATCCAGGCTGTTATTCAAGAATAAATTCATGTATCTTCAGTCAGCCAGAAAGAAACATGTACTGAAAGCTAAATTATTCCCCGTTTCCTAAACAGAAATGTTTCTATGCAGGGGGAAGGATGTAGAGAGGCTGGAGATAGGTTTTACCTTAAAGTTGTTGTGAAAAATCTTTGTCAAGAAGCTTAGTGTCAGAAGTCAATTTAGAAAAAAAAGGAAAAGTGATGGTTAATTTATTGATAAACATGTGTTCCGGATCACCTTTACCTGTCAGAAACAATCTATTTTTTTTTAATGCAAAATAAAGAACCATTTGAAAGAGTGTGATACTAGTTTTCTCACTGAAGTAGAACTCCAGTTAGAAATATGGGTCATAAATTTAAAGAATGGGCCCTTTCTATTTTTGCTTACTGCACGGGTCTGCTCAGACCTGCCCAGGTAGGTGCTTTTCCTACCACAGGTGTTTCAGAAGGAGGAATCAGGTATAGAAAACTACTTGGAAAAATCTCTCAACCTCTATGAGCCTCAGTTTCTTCTTTGAGGAAATATCTGAAAACATAGGAAATATTTCAAAACATAGAAATGGAAGAAAAATGACTTTCAGAATCCCATTATTATTTATGTCTGTTTATAATTCTCAGTAATCATTGTTTGTCCTATATAAAAAAATGTGAAGTAAACTTTAATGGAAAGCAAATAAAGTATTTCTAAACATTGCGACTGGGAAAGACAGGTGAACATTGGCCAGGGTGAGAAACACTTTACAGGCCCAGTAATCTGTTTTTTTAAAAAAAGATTTTATTTTATCTCTTGGAAAGAGAACCTCAAAATTTGGATGTTCCAGAATATTTCTAGATCAGATTAGAATTCCTGGAAAAACTTAAGCTGCCATACTTCTTTGAAAACCATCTACATCTGTAATAAAGATAATACCGCAGTACTTACCCTAGGCATCTTTATGTGACTCAGCACTTCTCTAAGCGTGTTTCAGTATCTTATCTGTAGCTCACTGAAGGCGAAAGGAAGGATTCTCACATCTGTTCACTCTCTTTCCTCTCCCAACCTAGTAGCTAGCTATCTGTTCTTCACAACATCGCCTGGATGGTCACCCTATATCCCTAGCACCTAACAAAGTATCTGTCAGTTGTAGGCTCTCGAGAAATATTTGCTGAATGAACAGAGAAGGAACTCAGTTCCTTTATTGTGTATTATTTTCTGTGGTCAGGGTTAGACCAGTGTGAGGAGACACATTAAAGCTAAAAATCCAGGAGTTACACAATCGCACCCAAATCCATTTTAACGGTAAAGTGTATGTTCAGATTGGGGAAGGTGTTTTTGAGCAAATTATGTAAACTAAAATGACAGTCCCCAGCCCTTTTATGAAATTTGACCTCTGACTTATCCAAACAATCTGGTCAAAATAAGAGCTTGGTACAAATTTGGCATGACAAATCAGAATTATAATTTTTAAAATACTGCATAGTGCATTTACAAATACTGAAGTAGAATAAAACTGATTTGCTTTTGATAAAAATTTTTATTATTTCACCATTCTCCTAGAGCTATGTAAAGAATAAAGGAGTTGGGATGGGCAAACATTCCCCTAAATTAATGGAGAAAGCAAATAACTATCCCAAATCATACTCATTTTGAAAAAAGTTGGTAGTAGGATTATGAGATTTTTTTTCTGAATCTGTGTATGCCAGTTAGTCAATTGGTAGTCAGTTATTCATGTTCAGGATTTTTCACAATAGCAATCAAATTTATCATGGTTAAAAAGTTAAAACTTCATTACCCTGTGAGTTTCCTAGTTGGTTGGTACAAACTGACAAATGATTGGAACTGACTTCTCATGTCTGAATTACCTTCCTAATGTCACAAGACCACATCTTTACACCTAGATTTAGAGCTTGCGGCCAAGGTCCTCCAATATATAGCTTCCAAGTGTGGAATACATAAATTCGATAGCAGAGGTGGTAACACAGTGGAGTTCATTCTTCCGTATACTTAGTTGGTTAGCTGTCAATTTCTGACTACATGTTCAGAACACAGACAACATACTGAACCAGCACCGGTGACCAAGGTAAGTTAGAGTAAGTGGGCAGATTCTTACCTTGCCTATGAGAAAAAGCAACAGTGCTGCAAAAAGTTGACTGCTGAGGGATGGGAACCTCAAGGACATTTAGAATTTCTGTTCCATGGCTAAATCTCTGGGTCAAACTTTAGTTCAGATCTAGGCAAGCACTGAAATGTTTTCTTGATTTCTTCCAGAAGTTAGGTGGCGATAATCTAATGTGATTAAAAGTGGACATAATTGAGAATAAAGCTGTTTTGCTG